AAATCAATCCTCGTGGGAATGATACTCAAAGTTCCTGAACAATATATACTCTCCATCTTGCTGGAGGCTATTAGAAAATAATCAAGATGCTGAAATAAAGGAGCCAGCAAGAAGAAACCAGCAGCACCAGCAAGGAGCATCAGCAGACAACTAATGGCTATGCTGGACCATAAGCTAACATAATGAAAAAACCTCTAGAAGATTATTGTTAGGAATTTTGTTAGCAATCTGTTGTATATTCCGTTTCATAGCATGTGAAGGATTGTTCTAGAATAGTGTAAATTCTGTATATATATATTCCTCTGGCATTGTACATTTTTATCTTCAAACAAGATTAATACAATTAATTTTCTCTCAGTTTTTGCTTTTATCTATTCCTTGCTTCACATTTTACATACTTGAAATTTTGTTGTCCATATGTTAATTATAAATTTTATAATATATATTATATATTAAAATGTTAATTATCACTTGAATTTTGAAATAAAAACATTAATGTCTGATCATTGAGATTGATACTTAAAAATCATGATTTTCTTAATTTTCTCTTTCAGAAAACTCAAAAAAGTAAAATAAAAGGAACATTGTCTACTATTTTTATATCCCGCAAGTGTATGGATTATAACAAGTAATATAGTAGACATCTGAGTTCGGATATCATTCCTATGAGAACTACTATTTAACAATTGATTCAATTATTCCTAACTTCAATTTGATTGAAAACGAATAATAAAGTTTAGAGATTGTTGTGATTATTTTTCTAACTATTTCTAATTAATTGAAAATATTAAAATTTTGCACACAACGATCGATTGAAGATTTAAATATGGGAAAAATATCACGGCATATCAATTTCATCTACTGATCACATTTAATTCTTAATTCAAGATTCATAACCTATTGTAATATTCGGTCGAAATCTTCTACTGTATTTAATTTACCACTCTCGAGTTCTCATTGAACCTATTTAGCCCTTGTTTGGCCCCCATTATTTGACATTTTTTATAGTTGAAATTTTTTGAAATAGTGATTGATGGGAGAATGTGTGGTGGAAAAGTAATGAAAAATTTTAGATTTGTGTGTAATATTATTTTATTTGATGAATGTGTGGTTGTAAAGAAGGGAGAGAAAAATTTAATCTAATGTAATTTAATTTAATGGGGGCCAAACAAGGGCTTAATTAATTCAATTACATATCTTTATGTGAACTAGTGTTAATTAAATAGAACACTAGTTCTAAGAATTTATATTCTGACCGCAATAATTAGTATATATCTCTTTACATGTTATACTAATTTATCGAATTTTGCTATATGGTCTAAATCTCAAACTCACATCTCGATTCGTAAAAGATTCACATAATCATTAAATTAGTAATCAAGTAATTTAATACATTAAATGCATAACAAAATCAACACATATATGAATAAAATAACATAAAATCTTGAATAAAATATATAAAAGGGTTTCAAGTAGATTACATTGTTCGCTGTAAATATAAAGTTTAGCTACTCATAATGATGGAATGAGAAAAACAAGAAGTTGTTATTGAATACATCACCGGATTTTTGATATAGATGTAGAAAAAGAAATAAAGTTTGCACCAAGATGTACTTCCTCTTTCAATCAATGCTTCAAAATTTGAGTTCCTTGATTTTTTTCTCTCTTGAATTGCGTTCTCCAATCTCTCGTTGTATCCTTGTTTTCTTAGAGTGTGGAACTCCATAAAAGTGCATATTTTCTTCTATTTATACTCCCCTACACGTTTCTCCAATTTTGGAGTTTTTTTTGGGCTTTTCGCGACCCAAAACAACATAACCATAAAATTTGTGACGCAGTGCCTAAACACTAGGATGTAGCACCTAGGCATAGCGATGCAGATCTAGGTAGCGCCTAAGTGCTATGGCGCTGCATCTCTATAAAAATTGGCTTCTTTCGGGTAAACACAGTGCCTGGGTGCTAGGTTGTCGGCACCTGGGCGTTAACTCACCGTTCCAAACTCTACGTCTTTTTTAATATTTTTGCCATAATTTTTTTTCCGATATCCGATTAAGACGATTCAAAATGTGTTGGAAAGATAACTTAAAGGATTGCAACTTTACTAGATAACTCCTTTTCAATTCAAACGTTTACTAAGCCAAAATGGGTCTCAATCTCCAACTAAAAATCTGGACATCCTTGTGCGGTTAAAAATTAATTTATGAAAATATTTTGGCCATATTTTCACTTATTTTGACTTTTAATTGTATCCAATTGATCCCTAGCATTTTCGAATCTTCGTCGTGAGCTCCGACACAACTTTTGAGTATTTGCACTTTAGCCCCCAAACTTTGGGACTTGCCTTTTTTGTCAATTTTTGCTTCTTTTTTTCAATTTCACTTCCATTCATCGAGTTTCACCTAATAACACATTATATAATAAATTAGGTTATAATTCCATTAATAGAATTATGAAATGTCAATATTTTAAAACTCGAATAAGTGTATAAAATACACTTATCAAACATAAAACTTAAATAACTATTTGAGCGCGACTCAAATGACAAGACATAATTTGTGCTGGACTTTAACTTTTTCCAACACAAGTTGCTAATATATATGCAATTTCACACATATGGCACATAGTAATAAATTTTACTGAATTATATAGCCTCCATATGAAAACAATTTATAAACGGTTTAATTTATAAATAGATATAAATGAGGTGGATAAATGAATAATTTTGGACTCCATTGAAATATGTCGTTGAAAATGGAATTCGATCATTTATAAATTATTTATAAATTTTGCTAATTGGAGGCATAATAAAAAGTATTGCAACTTCTTTTCGTATTTAAAACTTGTTTTTTTTGGAATGTGTAGTTAAAAGCGAGAAAAATTTCTGAATCCCATTAAATCTGTGATCGAAAAAAATATTGAGAAAAAAATGATTTAACTAAAAGGTAGGAAAAAGATAAGAGTGGTGCTATATGTACATTAAGGGATCCATAAAGAGATCCATAATGTACACATGGCCGACCCTCATTGGAGGATTGTCTATCGCGTCAGCCGACCCTCTAATGAGGGTCGGCCATGTGTACATTATGGATCCCTNCCATCATCATTCTTCCCAAACTACCCTTGCATTCAAATTATCATATCAAATGTGTGGGGATCTACTTTGGTTCCAATCTTTGGCTTTTCCAAAGAATTACTTCAGCTTTTCCACTCCCTTTGATTATCATATAAGAAAAAGTATCTTCCACTTTCCTACATCACAATTTTCATTTATTTCTTCTTTTGTCCTACTTTATGAATTTTTCTAATCTATGGATAAAATAAATACAATAAAACCAATATTATAAAGACAATAAAATAAAAATGGAACTCTTAAACTGAACATATTAAACTTATGGGAATAGGGATGTAATAATTGGCAAATCAATTCGAATCGGTTAGCCTGTATAACTGCCTAGCATGATCGGTCGTTAAATGATCGATTTGTGACGGTTCATGGGTCGAGCCGAAATTGGCTAGTAAAATGTGCCTAATCTATGAGGCCTGGCCGCAACGTGAGCTATTTCGAATGGGTCCATAAATTATCTCACCAATACTCCATAAATGCTTATTTTAACTTTTGGAATATTTCAATAGATTTTTGTTGTGGGATTTTCATTATTATTATGTCCAACACATTTATATGTAGATATTATTAGAATTTTTTGCTTCACGTTTTTCTTCCCTCTTATCTCCATTATTTAAAGTTGAAAATATAGAAGCCATTGTACAACTTGTACCTTCCGACATAGGAATTAGGAATTTGTTATAATTGATAATTTATTTGATATAACAAAGTAAAAGTTAACATTAACAAATGCAACACATTACATTGATTTTTTTTAATTTTTTTTTTCAAACATTGTGCTGGATTATGTTATACTCCCATTATTAATATTTTTTTTATCACGGTGCAAGGTAAAATCTCAATTATCCCGGTATGATGCATGATGGAAAACATTTTTAGAAACATATTTCGGCATATACCAATTATTTTCCTAGCTAAAGTGCTCGATCCTTGTTTCAAATTGTGTAAGTCATACTCCAGATCAAACTAAATGGATGAAATTCACTTGCTTAGAAACCATATGTTAGACCGAGATACATCATGTGACTTGGACTAGAAAATGAAAGTACATGTTTGTCTACAAGAGAATTGAGAGTTCCTACCATAATGCATGACTACTTAACTTGAGAATTCACACTGCAAATACCAGCTTATCTCATTATTGTCGAGATAAGTTGGGAAATTTCTCCAATGGCTTCAAAGAAATGAAGTGAGATTTCGATATCTTTTCAAATGCTCAAATTACAAACTACTAAGGTAGTATTGCAATTATATTTCATTTCTATTTTTGTTATTAAGTTTATTTATTTCAATTATTTGTATAAAATTTTACAAAAATTTTGTGTGTAATTTTAACTTCGCTTACAACAATCAAGTAGCGGGTTCAAGCCCAAATAAAAGAATAGAGTTTCTACATCTTTATCATTCTCTTGATTAAATAGATTTATCTTTATAAATTTAGGTCTTAATTATATTTTGAGGGGGTCAAAATGAGAAATTTTCATTTTTTTACAAAGATATAAAAAGCAAGTGACTCGCGAGAATGTTCAGTCAAACCTCACAAAGCGGCGAATCGAGGAACTCGCACTCGTTTCGTAGCATCCCCTAGGTAAGTCGATGATGAATATGCCGAATGGCTTGACTCTATCCATATTCCATATAATACCCCTCTCTCATCGACTCATTTAACTCCATGAATTATTGTGTGAGATTATTCTACTACGAAAAAGATTGTGGATCCAACAAATCGCTGTGTCGCCCTACATAAAGCGAAAAGCCGCCACATATGAATCTACGCGCACACTATAAAAGCAAAACATAAAAGACAGAATACCTTTATTCTTTCCGTCACTTTTTCATTGTCAAATCTTTATTCCCAATTTCCAATGATCTCCCCATGAAACATATTGCGCCGCCGCCGCCGCCGCCGCCTGAGTCTCAAGACCTGCTTCTCCGTCACCGGACTACCATGGCCACAACCCTCCTCCAATCCCGCCACAACTCTGCCTACTCCGCCTTCACCGCCACAACTGGTTCCTCTGTCTCCTCGTCATCATCATCCTCTCGGACAGCACCTGACGATTTTAGGTTGTTGTCGACCGAGCACATCTCTCTCGTGTACGTTTCACTTAAGGACCTTTTGCCATCTGCATCAGCTCCGGTCGATTCTCCGAAATCCAGTGTGGCCCATCTCCCGAAGCAGACGGTCGTCAGGAATGGATTCCTCCAACGCCTTTGGCCGCCACGAGTCCCCGCTTTCTTCTACCATATTTTTGAAGCCCTGACCCGACTCCGCAATTGGCTAATCGAAGCTATTCGGATCCGGAGCTCCAGATAGAAAAAGGCAGTTTTCATATTTCAATTTGTATGTAGAAGAATAGTTTATATTTACAAATCCGTAAGGTTGATTCGAAAAGAAGGAAATTACACAAATCACAAAACATGAATAAATTTAAATTCATAATACAATTTTATACACCATTTTCTTTTATATATATATATATATATATTACAATATGCTTTGCTAGTCGCTAGTTTTGAATCGCCTAAGTTTAAGCCGGGCATGATGTAAATGTTGTTCCATTGGCGAACCTATATCCTCGTCCAGGTTTACGACATCCTCGGTGTCAATGCTTCGTGTGTGAACTTGAATGGATTCAGATTTGGGCATTTGGATACGACGAAGGGAGGGTGTTCTCGATGGTGTAATTAGCCGCCTTGGACTGTCGCTGTCATTCTTCTGGGCTAATCTTGATGGCGTACTAGGTGGGGTCGGCGGAGGAGGATGAATTTCGTTAGAATGCTGATTTTCGACCTTCTGCACAATGTGTTCCTGGCATTGTTAGGTCATAGGTGTGACAAACATGATAAAAGGTCAAACTTGTGCATTCCAGTTGAAGGCGTAACAAGGTCGGTCCATCACACCAAAAAACTTGGAATTTTGCCATTTTGCCATATGATTTCTACCATCCTCCTTGACAGATGTATAGATAGATGAAAATGATGATTGTATTTAAAATGGTACGATATTAGAATGACACGTGATATTATGTTAACCTATTTGTCAAGGAGGATGACATTAACCAGGCATGGCTAGGACCAATCTGCCCTTATAAGCCAGACCAATTTTTAGGTCTAGCTGTCGGGCCCTAAGACAGTGTGCGGCCCAAGCCTCTAGGCAGGCCATTTCAAAAAGGGGGCTAGTCTTATTAAACTCTTGTTTGATAATCATTATTTGGAAAAGAAATAATATTTTGAATGGTGACTTTTAAAAAAATATGTGATTAAAAAGTAGAAAAAGTTTTGAATTTACATATAGAATACTTTATTATGGCTAGAAATGAGTATGTAGAAAAAAAAAGTTCAAATAGTAGTTGTCAAACATGATAGACATCTCTAACTAGGTATCTTGGTTGGATGAAGTTAAACCCCCTTTTTGATGCCCATTAAAAAGTATTTTTTGGGAAAATGAGTTTTGGTATATTGATTTTTCGGAGAACGTGTGGTTAAAACATTTGATAATATTTGAATTTACGTGCAAAAATTTTACTGTGAAAATATATAGTTGAAAATGAGTTCTAGAAAAAAAAATTTATTTATTTATTATTAATATTTTTTTTGAGAATGATAAACGAAGAGGACCTAAGTAAAAATTTCATGCAAGTTGGGACTCTTGATTGCATTTAATTGATAAAAAATTTGTAACCTCAGAACTGGGGTTAATCATTGCAGACTTGGAAGCTACAAATTGAAGAATTTGTACAATCTTTTCTGAGCCCAATTGTTTGCAGTTTTGGCAATAAAAATTGGCCAAACTCCATGCTCTGTCCCTAAATTCCAGTAAAGTCCGGTCGATATCCTTCTCATACATCAACAAATAAGGCCGTAAAAAGGATTCGTAAACATATCTCGTCCCCTACATTACACAAGAAAAATCTTTGAGCATTTATCAAATTAATTAGAAGAAGAAAATAAGTGAAAAGAAAGAGGGTTTTCACCTTTGTTTTTGGATACCACAAGTAAACGACGAGAGCCAACTTCAACTCATCGTACATTGGCAGCCTACATTATAATCTCAAGCAAATAATAAAATAAACTCGAAAATCGAAAAATCAGAAAGAGGATACACGAAATGCATACCAGAAAACAAATGTATCGAAAATCCTCTCAACAATTGACATCACTGCTAAAATAATCCTACACACAACGGAAAAAAGGGATAATTTTTTTTTTTTAAAACCAAAACAGCATTTTCATGTAGACTAGCAATGCACGAGAAATATATATATAAAAAAAAATATTACCAATATTGACACCAAAATCTAAGTTCTTGAATCTCAACTCTATTCATCTCCACTGTTTTGAAACACTCAAATGCAGGATAGGCGTAACCAAGAACCACACTGCAAATCCATGAACAAAATTCGAGATTTCCCATTCGAAATGAACTCCGAATAAGCGAAAATATAAGAGAGAAAAATAGGCAAAACAGGAAACGAATTTTTACATTAACCCTCTGGAGATGAATCCTCCAATCATCTTGAACAGTTTTCGCGAGCGCCAAAATTCCTAAACCAATCTGTAAATTCGTCGTTTGTCAAAAATTTTAACCAAAAATCTAAAACAATCATTAATTTCAACCTGATACACAATTCACTGTACTAGACTAGAAACAAAAACAAAGATTTTTATTTATTCGACCTGTCGTGCACGTAGATTAATCCAAGAAGAAATTGCTACTAAAATGATCAAATGGTAAAAGACAAACCATATGAATGAATTGCATTAGAGAAACAAATCAATTCTATAAATAATCCACAAAGCCATGATTGTATTAGTGTTAAAGAATCTTTCACATGATTGTAAATATCTTTACCTTTGTTGCGAAGGAAGGATCTTTAATCTTTAATCTGTACGTTTGGAAAATTAAAACAAACTTGATATTAAAGGAAGAAGGACAAGTTAGCTATATAGGATATTACGAACGTGCGAGAATGTATGTGTGTATATTTCTGCATTTCTGAAGATCGACGCCTTCTCGTTATAAAACACGTAATTTAGCTGGAGTGGATTTCTAGGGATTCTTTTTACGAGTTCACCGTTTGGTAGTTATTCCTTCCGGTAAGAATGCATTTAGCTTTTTAATTACTTAATGCATATAATAATAATATTATAATAATAATTTAGCTAGAATTGGACGTAAGGAATGAGTCAAAAAACACAGAAAATAGAATTTAGGATGGTCAGTCTAAATTTAGTTTCTTGATGAATTGGAGAGAGGTGGTTGGGGTAGGGGGTTGAAGGTTTCAATTCATAAACAAAAGAATATACACCTATGAAATGCCCATAAATAACAAAATACTCGATTAATCTCCAAAAACTCTATAGTGCAGAAACTTAAAATTGACAGAACCTGAGCGTCCATAGGTTCGATGACCGCTTTTAACGCCTAATCCTTTGTAGAGCATCCATTAAAATGTGTAATGCTGGTTTGCACTTAAACAAACCAAAACATCAAGTCACAGAGACTTAGGGGCCGTTCTCTTTGGCCGTTTTGTGTCGTTTTCTGTTTTCGATTTTCCAAAACAATGAAATCGCGTTCTCTTTTCTATTTTTGAAAACGCGTTTTATGAAAACGATAAAAAATTTGTACACGAAACACAAAATGATAAAAACATCGTTTTGGCCTTTTCCATCAAAAACAGGGAAAAAATGCAAAACACGCGAAACGGCAATTTTCAATACAGTAACACCTCCACTGCCACAATTCCAATTTCTTCCCCCTTCTTCCAATCCATCCCCTCTCTTCCTTCCCTGTGGACGCCGATTCTCTCTTGCCAGATTCAGTCACTTCCTACACACTCTCAGACGACGGCAAATTTGTAGTCAACTTGAAGAAAGCGTGCTACATATAGTTTGATTATTTGGTTTATTATGAGAAAAAGATTACTGGGAAGCTGAGCATAGGGTCAATATACATACAGTTTAATTATTTGGTTTATTATGAGAAAAAGATTACTAGGAAGCTGAGCATAGGGTCAATCTCTAATTTAAAGGGCATTCAGGTTAAGAGATTCTTCTTATGGTTTGATGTTGACAAGATCAAGGTTGACTTGTCGCCTTCTGATAGTATTTACTTCATTGTTGGGTTTATTAATAAGGAACTTGATGTGGATCGGTTATTGACTGTTCGTTCTTACAATGATAAGGCTTTATCGGCTCTGCCTTGCGGCGGCAGCACTGATGGTAGTGGGCGGCAGTCTTTGAAGAAGATTTTTCAGGTATATTAAATAATATTAATGGGATTTTCTTGATGATTATCAAATTGTTTTGGGAAAGATGACTTATCTTTATGCTTTCTTTATGATTAATTAGTTTTCTCGTTATCAATGTTAGTCTTTTCTTGTTAAGAGGCAGATTATCTAAATATATGATATATTCTTTTTCATCTGAAATTGAATTTCGTGCTCTGATTTACAGATTAAGTTAAATGATTCACGTTACAGTGTGAATATCCATATTTTCTGTTTGATTATCACTCTGTTCAACTTGACAATTAAGTGGCCTTAATATTCGTACTATATATAAAGAATTTTTAGTAGCCAGTTCGTGACACATACAGAGATATGAGGGGGGTGAGATCACTTTTGTTGAATCAATATAATTCAGGGAATCGTGGCGTGCTTCGCTCGTTTTCATTTGATGATTTAATCCAAAACAAAGTATTTTGGAAAGGTAGTTGAGAAAAATTATATGGATTTTTCTTAATTATAGTGAGAAGTCTTCTTTTTCTCATGTATAAGGAGATCTCTTTCCAAGCCATGAGCGATCTGATGTACTCGTGGTTGTTCAATTACTGTGAGGAACGCGTCCAAAATTAGGGGTCTGGCCTTAGTTAATCACGAGAGTTTCTTTACTGTTTCTTTTTCCTTTTCCTTTGCCTTCTAATGGTATTGTATTCCTATGTGGCCACTACAGATTTCTGATTGTGGGATTTTCTTTCGTTGTTACAGAATTTTTTTAAATGATCTTACTATGTATAAAAGTATTTATGAAGCACCACGTGTTTATGTGCTATAAATTTGATGGACTTGATCAGTGTACAAGTCAGAGTTTAGTTCAAGAACATGGAAATTGAGCATATATTTGGTTGCTAGTCTTATGGTTGGCAAATTTGTGTCCAAAGTTTAAATTGGGAGTCTGTTTATCCTAAACAAATGAGAACTTATTTGGGAGTTGATTTCATCTGTGTATAACATTATGAAATGGTTAACTAACAAACAAGATAGTGCATTTGTGCCTCGTGTTGCTACATTTATAGCCTTCTCAAGTAAATTT